TTCCCTGTTTTACCGAGAGCGTACGCTGTTTTATCTACATTCCGCTCTGTTTTAACGACGGCGTGCACTCTTTTATCGACGAAATACGTCCTAGCCTAACTTCCAGACCTATCTTCCTACTCTACATCTCACATACCGTCAGAGATCATCTACGATTATCAGGAAATTCTTGTTTTACAAGTTTGAATTTCGAGTGCACGACAAGGACGGTCAATTGGCTGTTCGTAAAGAGTTCTGGGTGACTTTTTGACTTCGCCACGGTGATCATGACCACTCCAGCTCAAATTTGGTAGGAATGCTTTCGTGATCCTCCGCACGATGTAGACGCATCCTCGGACTAATCAAGGTAAGTACAGAGTCCTCTCTTTCTCGCCCGACGTTGGCGCAAGTGGTTTAACTGCTTCTGGAAACAGTTACCGAGTAAGGCAAGCGATACGTTTAACCGGGGCTGCTTTCGATATCCTCCACCATTCCCTTTGGCGGTTCGAGCATAAATGGAATAATATACGGACGGGGTCGTTTCAGCGTTTCTGGCACGAGTCCCCCGCCATTTTTGCCGTGGCGAAACGTAGCAGCGTTTCTTCGACGGAGCCTCGCAAGAAATTTTCACGAGACCGTCGGCGGAGCTTGGTCAATCTAATTATCCTCCGTGGGGGGAGCGGAAAAGCTGGAGGAAAAAGCGATTACGCTGGAATAGTAAAAATTAGTGATTCCATTAATCCTGGCGGCTTCAATTTGCGCGGGCGAAACTCGCGGGGTGGGATCTCGGGGTTGGCCTGTTTCGAGGAGACTTGGCCGGTATTAAGATTAAGCCTTTCGCGGCCTGGTTCTTCGTAGTACTAACTCAGACGTAGATAATAACTCGGACTTTAGGGAATACGTAGTGTTTTTTGAATAAGATGTTTCGATGCTTCTGGAGTTAAATGGCACATTGGTGTACCGAGTGCAAACCTGACCGAGATTAGCACGACGTTACTCAAATTCAGACCTAACTCTGCACATAGATTAGGATTAACTCTCCACTGATATACAGTCAGTAAATATTCGTACCCTCTATGTTAATCGAAGAAATTTGTTTAATAGTTAAATAGTTGGTTTGATGTTTGCAAGTGTATGTTTGTATAAATACAGTCAATGTAAGAAGTATTTGTACAGCAACCCATTTAAAATAAATGGTTCCTGTACGAATACTTATTACACCGACTGCATGTTGATTTATATATAAATATGTACACGTATAAGCTTATTCGTATGTATAATGAAATGTATTCATATGTATTCGTGTGTATTCATATGTATCATGAAAAATTCATTTGACGATATCAAAACTGTTATTTAATTTAATCAAACTTCTTCAACAGACATAGGGGGTACGAATATCTACGTGATTGGCTGTATGAGCCGTTCATTGCACAAATCGATTAACTCCATAAAGCGATAAGTTCGGAAAGTTATTATAAATATTAGGTTGTCCCGAAAGTTTCTTTCGCGAAGTTGCGCTCAATTATTTTATGTGATCGTGTTTATATAAATAGACAATCCAATTTCACAGATATTCATATTGCAACAGTAACGGAGCAAAATGAATCGTGCACAATTCAGTAATGTAACATAAAACGTAAAATATTGCGCATGTATTACTTATTAATAAACCGAAAGAAACTTTTGGGACAACCTAATATAAAAAATCATGACTATACCGAATGCTTCGATGCATAAATTTCAGATTTTTCAAAAAATCGATTCGCGGAGTGAACGACTCGTATCGGTGTCATTCGATCCCCGAAGAAGCTAACCGCGGTGCCGGTCGATCTTATCCAACGAATCAAATTTGAACAATTTTTTCATCGAATTCAATTACGATCCCGAGGGGGACGGAGGGGGGGGGTAGTAGTAGTAGTAGTAGTAGTAGTAGTACACGCGAGCGAATCCATTTCCCATGTTTCCAAATCGTTTCGTACCCGCATTGCGGCAACTCTCCTCGCCGGATAATTACATTCTCGATCGCGGTATCGATAAATCGATCGTTGATACTTTGACAATGTTTCGGAAAATTCCCGTCGCCGTGCGATCGGCTCCGTCGCTAGAGACGGCCGAATAATAAGGGAAAAGTCGATATCGGCTAGAATGAGGAGAAGGGGGTGGAGGGGCGGGGGGTGGGGGGTGGGGGGTGGGGGGAGTGGTGGCAGCAGCATTGGCGGAATAGGTCCAATTATTATTTGCCAATTTTCGCTGCAATAATGCAGGCGCGACCGAGAGAATGCTAAATAATATTACTGGAACTTTCTACGAACGGCGCAGCGGCTTTCTATCGGCCGCGGCTGGAATTGGAAAAATGCTTATGTGGGTCAGCGTCTCCGGCGGCGCGACCGGGAATAATGTGTATTTCAGAAACCAGCCGCTTTCGTTTCTCGTCGAGGCAACGGAAAAAGCGACGGTGGTCCCCCCCGTTCACCTCCGTTCCCGCGTCGCGCAAATCCGATCGTGCTGCAAAGCTCCGGCCGATCGAGCAGATCCAAGCTGCGATGATTAGCGATGGGATCGACCACCTCCTGACTACTGAACTCCGAGTATTTCAATGGAAATAAAGTTACGCCAATTTTCGTGTTCGAACGTAAGGCACACGGCGCAACGGATTTGAAATTAGTGTTGCAAACAGTTTGCGCTCTTTAATTTACCTAGATCCACGGTCGCGTGCAACTAGTTTCAGAGTGGTTTGAAACTGATCGGTTGCGCCGTGTGCGATCGGCCAAAGTTAACATATTGAATCTCGATGGATTCATTTTTTATATGCTATTAGGGTCGATTCAGACTATACGACACGGGCCGGCACCGACACGACAAAACATTAAAACACGCGTTTTAATAGAACTATTCACACTATTCCCGTTGACCGGAACGTTCAGGTCGGTGTCTGTTAAGTGTGAATAGTTCCATTAAAACACGCATTTTAATATTTTGTCGTGTCGTTGCAGGTCCGTGTCGTATAGTCTGAATCGACCTTTAAACGAGTAGTAACGATACGCGTAGTGCGTCTGACATACATTGTCTCATTCTCCTTAGCAATAGAGAACCAAAGGTGTCGCCGCGTACGCGACTTCCAATCGAACTGACTCGCCAACTCCTGAGCGACGGACTATATCTGCACTTTGTTTCCATAAATGCACCTAGGAGCCCCCGGAATGATCCCTAAATTAAATGATTTCAATTGATGACTTCGATCGATGATTTTCGATTGAATAACAGTAAGAATTCTTTGTGCGGTCTATTCATTCGAGGATGATTGTCATCATTGGAACTGGCTTGTGCTCGTGAGTAGATACCGAACGCGATCCCATCCCTACTCGTGATGCACGCCGAGCGTTGTGCATTTTTCGCGGACGAAACGTGGCCAAGGAGAAAGCTCACGAACCCAGCTGCCTGATCACGAATAGAAATCCCGGAAGAACTAGCAGCTCTCCTATGGGGATCTTCTTTCCGACCTGAATTCGATTCCGCGTTACAGTCTCGGGGACAACGTAAGGCTGGGAAGGTGATAATTAACTCTGAGGTACCCCAGTGGAGGTCTCACAGGCTTCTTTTAACAAAAACTTACAGGTCCTAAATACAGGAAGGGCAAAACTAATTTATTATTAACGCAAAACTGAAATCAAACACAAAGCCTGTCCCCTAAGCGACTAATGTAATCAAACGCAAAACGTACCTCGTTACTCACTTCCGTTTGATTACATTTAAAAGTGATAAACGAAACCAGAATAGTCTTCAACCATAATATTTCTAGCGAGTGCCAGTAACTGAGCTGTTTATGAGTAGATTAGGTCTAAACCTGAAGATCCCTAAAAGAAGCCCAAACCCAGTGTTTCTTATAAGTAAGCAAAGTCTCTATAAATGCACAAATATCTCTACTATAAATGCACTGAAACCATCTCGAACATTGGATGGTATACCCCCTGGAGGTCATTGCACTCGAGAGGTGAATCTCAGTCACCATTAGGTTTCAAACAGCAAATATACAATACCTCACATGTTTCTTTAGGTTTAATTTCTTTAATTTCTCGAAGTGTCACTAAAATAAATGTCTTTGGGGCACGGTGTGATTAAAAATGTCCCACGTTTTTGATGGACCGTAATGCATGGTGGGACATTTTTAATCCCACCTCGAAAGTTTGCATTAGCTGCATGTGTATAAATGTGATACCTTTATTAATAACAATATAACAATTTTGTTTGATTTAAAACGCAATAAAATTCCTGTGCAACATGGGTCTATTTTGTGACCTGAATTCCCGTGGCGCAAAGAGTTAAACCGTGAAACGCATTTTAAGTCCACGCGAATAGCTTCGTAGAGTCCATAGCACTCAAAGGGTTAAAATTAGAGCTGTTATTCGAAGAATCACGGATGAAAAGGTGCTCATCTTCGGTTAATTATCCGAAACTTGATTGATACCGTGGTTTCCGCGACTCTCCACTAAAGAGACAATTCCCATCGATTCCTGCATATCCCTAGCACACCTCTGCCTAGTAAATTTCCTCTCCGATTCCTGCATATCCTTACTACACCTCTGCCTAGTAATCTCACCAATGAGTCCACTCCCAGGTTTCCTTTCCCTCCCTTTTTCCGCTCAGCCTCCAACCTCCTCTACTTTTTTCCGGCTGC